AGAGACAGAGACAGAGGGGGAGGGAAGGAGGGGGGAAAAAAAGCATGAATGATGTGAAGCTCAGCCCCCAGAAGCCATGTGCACCAGTGCATTATCTGGCGGGCACAGGCAAGCAGTGGCAGGCAGCACCTGGAGTGGCTGGAGTCACAGGTGTTGATGCCATCACCCCTGCTTTCCAGCTGTGTGACCTTGAGTGAGTCACCGCCCAGCCAGCAGCCTGGTTTCCTCTCAAGGCAAGCAGGTGCTGAGGTCTGTCTGCCTCTCAGGGAAACACTGCCAAAGAGCTCCTGGGGAATCCCCATTCCTGGGACTCCATCTGCCTCCTCCTCCCCCTGCCAGCAGGAAGCCCTGAGGGCTGTCCTGCTGGATGCTCCCTGCCCGGCTGCACCACTGACTCAGCCTGCTCTGTCTACCTGGAGGCTGCCACCCCGCCTGCCCAGCCCCTCCAGCTCAGAGTCCGCATTCTGCACAGACAGACAGACAGACAGGCACCCGCCCTGGGCTCCTGACACCAGACCTAGGGCTCAGAATGTCTCCACCTGGCTACAGGGAGTGGAGGGATTACTCACCGTGCCAGAATTCACGTATTTCTTTTTCTTCATTTTCTTTTTTGGGTTGATCACCTGTAGGAAAAACCGGTCTCCGTTTCCACATTGTCAGGGCTGGGCCCTGGGGCTCCTGCCAACCCCTGGGGCTCCGGGGCTTTCTGAGGGAGGCTGGCATCCAGTTACACAACAGGGCTCCCCCATGCACCCGGCCCCACAATCACACACGCCAGGCTATGGACTGAACCTTCCTTCCCACTGCACCCCCAAACATGTCCTCCACCCTGGACAGACAGGGCGGCTCAAGTCGCAGGCTCAGGCTGAACCCCCAACGGCCCCTCTCTTCCCTCAGCCCCCCACCCCCCTCCTCCTTCGGGTCTCCGAGGCTCCGACGAGCAGCACAGTGAGAATCCCTCAAGTGTTCCTCACTGGAGCCTGCAACCTTGTTGTGTCTGTACTAGCTCTGAGCCACCAGCTCTCTGTCCACGGGGGGTCTGGGCACAGCCTCCCCACGTCCGAGCAGACAGAGAGAGCAGACACCTGCAGGTTCTGGGTGAACTCACTTCACCTCTCCCACATGAAGACTGATACCTACTTCCAGAGGCAAGGAAACCCCAAGTGATTGGCCTGAGGTCACACAGCCATCTGGGGAGACAGCACTGGAACCAGGTGTCCTGCCCCCAGGCAGTGGTACACCAAGGGGAGGCACCTTGGCGACACCCTTCCAACAGCCTTCATGAGGTGAAGTGCGGGTTCCATTTCCTGTGCCCTGGAACCTTCCTCCCGCTGGAGAAAAGAAGTCTTTAAAGACAGTCAGTGACAAGGGCTTCAAAAAGGGACATCGGAGGAGGCAGGGAAGTTGGAGGCAGGAAAGACCACTCCAGGCGGGCTCCCAGGGACAGCAGCCCCCACGCAGACTCGAGTCACACGAGATGTTGGGGGGCAGCATGGAACTGGGTCCCAGCCAGCTGCAGCTCTGCAGGGTGGAAGGGGAAGTGGGGGTGGCCGGGAGTCCAGAATGCCAGACAAAATGTCCAAATGTCGCCCAGCAGGGCACTCAGTGACCTCTACGCCACTGGGGGTAAATCATAGCAGGCTGGTACTGCTCTTACTGCCACCCCGGTGATGCTGGTGATGGGCAAGGAGGGCCTGCAGGGCCCCCGGGCAGGTCCCGAGCTATGGTGAGAACAGCACTGCCAAGAAGTGACCGCCAGGGCCGGGGGTTTAGCTCAGTGGTGCTGCCACCTGCCTCACAAGGGCAAGGTCCCGAATTCAATCCCTGGTGCACCCCCCCAAAAAAAGAAGTGACGACCATCTGGGCTTTGTGGTGCACATGCCTGCAATCCCAGCACTCTGAGAGGCTGAGGCAGGAGAACCACAAGTTCGAGCCCAGCCTGGGCAACTTGGCAACTTAATGAGACCCTGTCTCAAAATAAAAGAATAAAATAGGAGCTCGGGCTGTAGCTCAGTGGGAAGGCTCTGGGTTCAATCCTCAGCACTGAGAGGAAAAAAAAAAAAAAGAGGAAGAGGAAAAAGAAGCAATCACACACAGAGGGCTGAATTTTGTGTACGGTGGGAAGTCCAGGTAGGAGGGCCCGGAGGAGCTGCAGGCCCCCGCTCCACAGGGCTTGGGCCCCCCAGAGGCCGGGCGCTCAGACACAGGTGTGGGGAAGCAGCCTATGGAACAAGCTGCTGAGGGCAAAATTGCAGTCCTGATACCGCACCGTCCCTCAGTTTCCCCATCTGTACCACGAGGGTGTTGGGCTTTTGCTCCGCAGCCTGGCCCCCGCAGCCCACCTCTTCAAAGCTTCAGGGTTGGCTTTTCATTTGCTGCACCCCAATGTCCACGCTCTTCACAGTCAAGCAATGGTCTGGTTTGGGGGCTTCACAGGAAGCGGACCCTGAGGGAAGGCCCTGTGTACCTGGGGTTTGCAGGATCCCCACAGCGCACCCCCACAGCCCTAGGTGGCCGCCCATGGGAAACGCCAGGTGTGGGGCCAGCGCCTCCTAGGGGTGGCCTAGGGATCCTCTCCCTCCTTTCTCCTGGGGCTGGCAGGAACCGGCTCCCTCTTTGGGTGGCCCTAACTCTAGCCAGGTCCTGAGCCGCCCAGCCTCCCAGGCAGCCCTGAACCTAAAACCTGTCCCGGGACTGCCACAGTCGAGTTCCTGTGGCACTTGGCCTGTCTGAATATGAAGACAGCTTTCTGCCTCCCACGGAGCAGTGCCTCTGGTTGGCAGAGATCAACAACCGGGAAAACCAGTCAATCCAGCCTGTCTGCTTTCATTCTGCAGAGCCTGCCAAGCACCTTGGAAGCCAAACTCTGCCGCCACCTCCCTAAGCCCCTCCCCGAAACAGGTGAGAGAAAGTGGAACCCACCTGGCCCTGCCCAGCTGGGTGGACGGACACCCCTCCCTGTGTGGGTGCAGAAACAAAGCAGCCAAGTCTTTCAGAGAAACTGAGGCGCCTCCACTCACTCTGCACCTAGCAGGGACCCGCCAGCCGGGCGGGGAGCCACCCAGGGCCAGGGAGCTGTCTGCTTCCAACACGGCCCTGCCAGCTGGGTCAGAGCCAGGGCGAGGTGGTGGAACCCGGCAGGGGACTTAAAGCCAACTCTTCAGGTTCAGTGGGACAGGGCCCTACGGCAGGGCAGCTGCAAAACGTGACCCCTGGCACTGACGTCAGGGCAGAGCACCACTTGCTCCATCAGCTCAGTCTGCCAGGCACAGGGCCCTGGGGGACTTAGCCAAGGTCACCGGCCAGCCAGGGAAGCTCCGAAGGGGGAGGGGCGAAGCCAGGGTGGCTGGGAAGAGCGGGAAGGTTGCTAGGGGAGCAGGGCCACAGCGACGTTTGGACGCCAGCGAGGGCAGCTAGCGGGGCAGACACAGCAAAGGATGGCCATGGAAATGGCCCTCAAGGGCAGGTGTGGCTGTCCCGAGACCCTCTGAGGCCCTCCAGGTCCAGGCCCGAAGGGGCTCCGACGCCTGTTCTCCCTGCCCTTTTCTTCCAGAAGAACTTAGCACTAGGCAGCCTGAAACTTCTGAGGTGCAGGTCTGCCGTGAACTTGGACCTCAGGTCACAAGCCCGGAACTTTCCTTCTGGAGTTGAGGACTGAACCCAAGGCCGTGTGCATGCTGGGCATCTGCTGCACCCCTGTCCCCACGCACCCGGGCCCCTGAAACTTCTTACCGGAAGTGCTATGAGCCGGAGACCTAGGCACACAAGCCGTCTGGCTCCTACAGCACCGTGTGGCTCTGGGCAAGTCCCCACCTTCCCCGAGACCGCTGGGCGGGACCTCAACGCCCGCCCACCGGGAAGCGCCCACCCCTAACCACACAGGCCCGGGCACCACCGCAGCAGGCCGACGGGGCGCTCACCTCGTAGATGTTGAACTGGCTTTGCCCGCGTGCCAGCTCGCGGTAGCTGGTGGTAAACTCCCCGATGAAGTCGTGGCTGCAAGGGAAGCGGCGGCTCAGGCAGGAGCCCCGGGTTGCGCGGATGCCATGCACCGGGCCTGGCCTCTCTCCCGCCCCTCCCCGGCCCCAGGTCCGCAAGGGCCTCACTCCAGGGGCGCGTCTGTGGAGAAGCTGAGTCCCCAGCAGAGTGCTCGGTGTCACTCACAGGGTCGCCTCTCAGTGAGCAGGGACCACTTCCACTGGGACGCTTGTTTAATGACAGGTTTTTGAGGGGTGGCCGTGGGTAATTTGAATATGAAATAAATATTGGGTGGCATTCAAGAATTACTGTTCAGCGTGTCGGAGGTGGCGGTGGCATTTGTAGCTGCGTGGACATTCCATTCCCAATGAAATATTTAAAAATAAAAATGCCACAATGTCATTTACTTTACCCTACTTGAGCAAAACATAGATTAAAGCAAATATAGTGATATTTAACTATTATAAAATTTAAGCAATGGGCTAACAGTGTTCATTTAACTTCTCTCTACTCTTCTGTGTATTTGACATTATTTGCGATAACATTCTTTAAGCCTTTTTCTTTTTTTTGGAGATGGGGGTCTTGCTATGTTGGCGAGGCTGCACCTGAGTGACCCTCCTGCCTCAGCCTCACCAGTAGCTGGGACTACAGGTGTCCACCACTGTGCTGAGCTCTTTTTATTCCTCGTGGGGCTGGGGATTGAACCCAGGGCCTCCAACATGCTAATGCTAGGTAAGTGCTTTCCCACTGAGCTACATCCCAACAGATCCAATAACATTTTTTTTTTGGTACGGGGGATCAAACTTGGGTCCTTGTGCTTGCGAAGCAAGTGGCAGAACCACTGAGCTAAGTCCCCAGCCCCCACAATAACATTTTTTAAACAGATGACCAGAGCTGTGTCAAGCCAGGCACAGCCTGTCATGCCTGCTGGCCCCACGCTCACCCCATCCACTGCCCTGCCACTGCTGGAAGGAAGTAGTCACTGTGGTGGCCAGGGGCATTTGGCTGCACAATGATGCCCAGGAGGCATCCGAGGCCTTTGTCAACTTGACAGAAGGACCAAGTGGCACCTGCTGGCTGTCCCCAGCTGCCATGGAAGAGACAGTCCAGGAAAAAAAGAAGCCTGAGGAATGCCAGGGTAGAATGGGGTGAATCGTGGTGGGCACTAGAGCTGACTTGTCTGGCTGTGAGGTGGTTACCGAGGTGAGGCCAGGTGTGGTGATGTAATCCCAGAGCTCAGGAGGCTGAGGCAGGAGGATTGTTTCGAGTCTGAGGCTACCTAATGAGTTCAAGACCAGCCTGGACTACATGGTGAGAACCTGTCTCAAAAAACAAAACAAGCAAAAGATAAAAAAATAAAAATAAAAGGCAAGGAGAAGAGAGAGAGCTGACAGAGATAATATGGGTGCCGAAGCTCCTTACAGGGAAGGCACGGGCCTAACTCAGAGCTACATCTGAGCAGCGTCTACGTGAGATGACACACATCCCCGTCTACACCGCGGCACACCTGGGCAGCAGCAGCAGGGACTCTGAAGTCCCCTAGGTCACCCCTTGGTAGTGGGCCAGCAGGGAGGGGGTGGAAAGTCCAATGACAGGTTTGGACTCGGCTCTGCGAGGCCTGCTCTTGTCGTGTGTCCCCAGCACACCCGCCACTCGGGGCACTAGCACCCCAGAGATTTGGCCGTCCTACAGCGCCCAGCCAGGGCCTCCCGTAGAGAATGCCGTGAATGCTCAGAGGCTGCTGGTGTCCACACAACTCAGGATTTCGGGAAGTGCGTGTCCCTGGACACAGCCCTCCATCCCCACCCACCTGGCGCCTCTTGGCCTCCTGCCGCTTACCTGCCATCTCGGTCCCAGTCATACACCTCCACCTTGATGGTCCTGAAAGACAAACAGCCCTTGGTGGGATGGGCCGGGACCCAGCGTGTGCCCTGGACCACAGCAAGTCCAAGCTCAGGCCTGGGGTGGGGCAGTAACACCAGACAGAGGAACTAACTGCCTCAGTAAAGACCTCAGAGACAGAGGCAGCTGCTGAGCCACACCTGGGGTTCCCGGAATGTCAAGGATATGGGAAAAATAGGCCCAGGCCTCAGTTTCCCTCATTTCTGCCTGGCCACTGCAGACGGAGCATCAGCCCCTGTGAAAGCCACCCTGTGCAACTTCCAGGGCTGGGTAAGACCACCCCCAGCTGGGCTCGGGGTCCCAGGGGTCTGAGGGTGAGGGCATCGCCTGCCTGGGATAGCCTGCTCCTGCTGCGCCTCCATCCCTCCCCACGACTGGCTCCTGAGTGAGGGTGTAATTATCTTCATATTTTAGCCTGGCTGCTTTAATTAGTTTGTTTTGACTCCTATGCATGGGCCTGGGCTCCGAGAGCCCAGTTTATTTTTAGCCTCGTTTCCATGGCAACAAGCTAGCGGACCAGAGGCAGGCAGAGAGAGGTGGAGGGCTGCCGGTTAACCCTTGGTGCTCGCTGTTCTGTTCTCGCTGCCCAGGTCCAGGGGAGCTGCCAGGCTGCTCCAGCAGGGTCTGGGCAGGAGGGAGAGGCCCGGGGAGCAGGGGCGCCAGGCTTTAGCGCCACACAGGGGCACCAGGCAGTGCTTCCCCACACCACAGCCCCTCTCCCCAGGCGCTGGGAGTCGGCCCTGGGTTCTGTGGCCCCCAGTAGGAGGCGCTGTGTCCCCGCGGATGCACCTCTTTGGGACTGGGGGGCTCGGGCAGAAACTGTTCAGGAGGGGAGCCTGAAGATTGTGCAGACTGGGATTCTGCCAGCCAGAGCTTACGTAAATGGGCGAACTAGACGCTCACTGCTTAAAGGAATCCTTTCATACGTGCAAGAAACAACAATCAACATGTCCCTCTGAGGTGAGTTATTTAGGAAAGAAAATAAATAAATAAAGTCCCCGAAGGCGGGCTGGGAGCTGGACAGAGTGGGAAGAGTCTGAGTGGCTGGAGCCGCAGCCGTGGGAGCTAGAGATGTCCCTTAGCCTCCCTGAGCCACAGAACTTTTAGTTTTTTCTCCCCAGTACCGGGGACTGCACCCAGGGCCTTCATACCGAGCCTCAACCCCAACTCTTTTTCAATTTAGAAATCCAGGAACCGGTTTTAAAGGAGTCCCTGGTGACCAGCTGTGCATGTCCTGGGGTAAGGGTGCTGCCCGATGGAGAAACTGAACCCGCGGCACCCCCGAGAGTGATGGCCCAGCCAGGACCAGAGCAAGCCCTGCCTCCCTCCTGGCCCACACTCCGCCACTGCCCCAAGGCTGGGCCCCTGACCTGTGTGTGCCTCCCAGGCAGCCCCAGAGCCCCCTAGCACTGCAGGGGACCCCAGGGACCCCAACAAGGGGCGCGCTCCTCCTGCCAGCCCTGGAGGTAATGAGATGGGGGCCAGGGCATGTTCAGGGGCTACAGGAGGACCCAGGAGAGGAGACGGCTTTTGAAACCCCAAGCCCCAAGGCCTGATTTAAGTGGTCTGGATGGGACCGAGGCTGAGTCCCTGAGAGGTTCTGTGTGCAGACACAGCCCCTGCCGCCTCCACACCTGAGCGTGGGTTTCCACAGCTGGTTGTGCTTCGGATCCCCCTGGGGAGCTCCAGAAATACAAAGGCCGCGGCTGATGCTTCACCCTAGATTCAGAATCCACTGGTCCAGTGGAGACTGTTAAAAGCTCCCAGGACTCTGGGAGCCTGAGGCAGGAGGATCCCAAGTTTGAGGCCAGTTTGGGCCAGTTGGTGATGTGAACCTGAGCTGAAGTGGTGACTGAGGTCGAGGACAGTAAGTTTCCTACACAATAGCTGGGGGTCAGATGTGCTCAGAGGCTGGAACCGTGGCCTTGGAGGAGGCTGGGAAGGAGCCAGACACAGATCTCTGACAGCCCTTGGTGGCTCTGCCCTGCTCCCAACCCTTGGCACAGGCCTGCTGCGACCCAGGGACAGCACCCAGGAGAAACGGCTCCTGCCTCTGCTGGCACAAAAGGAACATCATGGGCCCGGGGATTTAGCTCAGTGGTTCTGGCACTGGCCTCGAAGGCCCAAGGTCCCGAGTTCCATCCCCGGTACCAAAACAACAACAACAAAACAAACAAACAAACAAAATGAACATCACATGTGGCATCACAAGGCTCGTGGGGGGCAGTGAGATGGGTGGGAAGAGCAGAGGAGCCAGGCACTGGCTTGACTCAGTTTACCTATCTGTACCAGGTGCTGTGAAGTCGCTCCCCCAGCCGCAGGCTCAGCACACGGACGGCACACTCTGTCGCATCCCCAGCCCACACTCAAGCCTTTCCCAGGCTCTGCCCTCCACACGATTTCCTATCACCACGAAGGTGTCACCCTTTTACCGCTGTGCACGGGTGCAGCAGGACAGAGACCGTGGCGCCTGTCAGGGCTTCAGCTCCTCAAAATCTGCTCGTCAGTGTTGAAGTGTGAGGGGCAGTGGCCCAACCCCGGAGAACCTGGCTCAGCGGAAACAGATCCTCAAGGCACAGAATGTTCCAGAGAGAACAGATTAGGGAAGTGCTTTCTGCCACCGCCCCAGGGCACCCACGGAAGGCTGGACCTGGCGCCAGCCCCATCTGGCTTTGAGTGGCCTGGAGTCCAAACAAGGGAGGGGTACCCCCACCCAGGGACTGGCCCGGAGGTGACTTCCATGAGCTCCGTGACCCCTGGCCCAGGCACAACACGAGCGAGTCCCCAGCTCCTGAGGTTATTCTCAAAGTCCAGGAAGGCACTGAAGCCAGGGCCAGCGGCCAGAAACTCAGAAATGTCAATAACCGGACTGGTTTCCACCTCGTCGCTCCCTTCCCGGGGCTCCCTGACGCTGGCCTCCCAGGCCCTGCTCATGGAGCAGCGAGCCCACTTCCTCTCCCCTGTCCCTGGGTGCAGCAGCTCTCAGTCCTCTCCTATCTCCAGACCATTTTCTCCTCCTTCTCCTTCCATTCTGGGTGCTGAACCCAGGGCCTTCACATCAAACAACATCCCTAGCCCTTTAATTCTTTGAGACAGGGTCTTGCTACGTTGCTAAGCTGACCAGGCTGGGATCACACTTTCCGTCCTCCTGCAACCCAGGGCATGACAACGTGGGTTGACTCAGTCCCCGTCCCTGGCTGGCTCAGACAACACAGCTCAGCTGGGAAGGAGGGGACAGTGGCCTCGTGGTCCTGCACCCCCGGGGACCCGGCATGCAGCACCTCCTGAGTGGCCCCGGATTAACACCACTGTCAGCCCCGTCACCACCAATATATCTCCTGCCCCCCAGAAGCCAGCTGGCTGTGTCCGTGCCAGAGAGGCAGGGCCGGCCTCAGGCCAGGAGGGGAAGATGGGGGCTGCCTGGGCTCCCCCAAACCCTCCTACTGGACGCCCACCTCCTCCAGTGCCCTGGGAGCCCCTTTCCAGCCTCCCTGAGCCCCCTGCTGTCCCTCACCCTGTCCAAAAACCCTAGGACCATGCTGGACATGGTGGCGCACATCTGTAATCCCAGCATGTGGGAGGCTGAGGCAGGAGGATCTCTGCACATTCCAGGCCAACCTGGGCTACACAGCGAGTTAAGGACAGCCTGAACTGCACAGTGAGACCTTGCCTCAAAAACTCTAGAACCATCAGAGGTTTATGCACTTGCAGCACCTCTTTTTTTCCTTTTTTTGGTGGTACTGGGGATCGAACCCAGGGCCTTTGCACTGAGCTCCATCTTCAGCCTTTTTAAAATTTTTTATTTCAAGACAGAGTCTAGGTAATCACCAAGTTGCCCCAGCTGGGCTTGAACTTGCAGTCCTCCTGCCTCAGGCTCCCAGAGTGCTGGGATTACAGGTGGCACTCACCACAAGCTACTGGAATGCCTATTTTTGTCCCCAGTCTCCCTTTGCACGGTTGTTTAGCCATTTAAAATACACATGCATCCCCCGCTCCCCAGAGAAGACAGAAACACAGTCGCTTGCCCTTGGATGCCACATGGCTAGGGGCACAGTGCTGGGCACACAGTAGGTGCACAATGACTCCCTGGGGAATGACTGCGGCTTTTCCCTCAGCCGAGCGGTGAAAAAGGAGCCACCCGTGTCAGACACCCAGCCTCAGGGAGACGGATGCTTGGACACCGTCCCCCTTCCACATGTACCCAGCGGCCGTGGTGCCCGGGGCCCCAGCGCCTGTGCAGGAGTGGGCAGAGGGGACCCAGCTTCCCAAGGCCACTGAGGGCCGGGCCAGCTGCCCACCTGAAGGCAACCTCACCGGGAACCCAGCTGGCCCTGGTGCCGACACAGACCAGTGTCATCTCACGGTCCCCGCCGACCCGGCCCACCTCCCGGCACTTGCAGCATGAGTAGTGATACGTTTCCCTGTGTGATTATCAGATTAGTGTCGCCACACCCCTCGAGGATGTGAGCCTTCCCCACTGACTTCCTGCCACCCACTGCGGTCCCTGCTCCACGGTGGGCAGGGATTGGTGGACTCGGTGCCAACCTTGGTGCTTCACGCACCCCGGGGTCCTCTTGAATGGGGGCCGTGGGAGCAGCAAACCAACCCCAGGAAGGAGGCGGACGCTCTGATGCCCACACTGCAGAGAAGGAGACTGCGGCCCAGCAGGCCCACGCTGGCCCCGGGCTGGCAGGGCTTGAGAGCCACGGTCAGGAGCAGAACCAGGCGATGACGGTGATGGTGATGAGGATGGCTGGTGGGCCATGTCGAGTCAAAACACCCTGAGGGCCCTCATCCCACCCCCTCACTGAAGGACACAGGGCTGGCTGAGGTAAACCAGAGTCCTCTGACCGGAAGCTGAGGCTGGCAGGGACTCGCTGCCTCTGCTGCATCTGATCCCTCCACTGCCACCCAGATGACAATGAAAAGACGCGCTGGCACCAGGGACACTGTCCTCAGACACTGTCCAGGTTGACTGGACCCTAGGCATCGCCCACGCTCCCACCCATGGGTGGGACAGGAAGTCAGGTGCCAGACAGGAAGAAAGAGGGGGTGCAGGCTGCTCAGCAGGTCCCAGCCCCAGGGACCCTGTCCACACGACAGGACAGCTGTGTGTCAACAGGAACGGGGTCCCCCAGGCCGGGGGAGGAAAGAATCCCGGGCCCCCTCGCCCACCTGTCGTAGTCCCCATTGCAGAGGGCTCTGACGGGGATGGAGAATGTCTGCCACACGGGGTTCAGGGTGTTCTTCATGACCTCGGTCTTGTGGCAAATGGTGAATCTGAGGAGGACAAAGAGGGGAACCGGAGTCAGGCTGAGGCCGTGTGGACGGAGGAGACAGCTGGCTGACAACTCTGAGGTGACAGGCCCGGCACTGGCAGCACCCAGGCTGAGGGCGGCACTGCAGACCACGCTGGTGGCCTGGGTCCCCTGAGGCCGCAGGTGACATGGGTGCCTGGGCTGTGTTTGCGGCTGGTCCTCTCCCCACCGCATCTTCACCGCACTCCCTCGCTCCCGTCAAGTCAAACGTCACCTCCCCAGAGCTCCCGACCACACTGCCTACAACTCATGCCCTCCGGCCCTGCCTGCAACATCCCTAGTCTCCTTCCATACTTTTTCTGTTTCCTTTGTCACCACTTGACATTTTGACAGTCTGTTTCTTCCTTATTTATTCTGTTCATGATCTGTCCCTGAAATGTAAGCTCCCCGAGAACAGAGAGTTTTGTCTTTTTCTAGCCAAGGTCTCGTTGTGTAGCTCACCATCCTCCCGCCTCAGCTTCCTGAACACTTGGATTACAGATATGTGACCCCTTGGCCAATGGGTTTTCTCTTCTTTAATCACCATTATGTCTCCAGTGCCTGGCACTCGATAGGTATTCAAGGCTTTTTCTAAATAAAGGAACAAATGAATAAATGTATTTCTTGGGGGTTTTATAGCTTGCCTTGACTTTTTTTTTTTTCTTTTTGGTGTTTTGGAGACAGGGTCTCACTGCCGGGGATTTAGCTCAGTGGTTCTGCCACCTGCCTTGCAAGTGCAAGGTCCAGCGTTTGATCCCCGGTACCAAAAAAACAAAACTTTCTAGCTTGCTGTTTCTGAGTAAGGTGACTAGAGCAGACACTATGTACTACATATTTCAAAAAGCTATTGGAGAGGGGGACAGGGTCTCACTATGTAACCTGACTGTCCTCTAACTTGCAGTCTTTCTCCTGCCTCAGCCTCCTGAGTGCTGAGATTATGGCGTGCACTGGCACGCCCAGCTTCGCCCCAGCATTTCAATCCAGTGAAATCAAAGCCCTGACCTGGAGATCTCTAGGCTCCCAGCTCTTCCCAGTCACAGCTGGGGAGCAGCTGCGCCAACTGGGAGGATGAAAGCCAGCACCCCATCACCCCCACGCCACACCAGCAGGCCCTGCCACAGGGACCAGCGCCACCCGGCGTGGAAAGGTCACCAGGTGAGGGCTGGGGCCCCACCCCTGCCCACACAGCCTGTGCCACTTCTTCTCTGACAATTTTCAAGTCAAAATGTCATTCCTGTCACCGGGGCTCAGCGTTCCTCTTCTCCGCTCCTTCTCGCCTACCCACAGGAGTGGAGATCCGCGTGGGAGACCTCCCCACACAAGCACGCGCACGCGCCAGAGGCTGGGGGTGGGGACGGTGGGGGCCTGGAGCCGGGGCGGTGGGAGCTGTCACGGCCGCTGGACCCTCCCCAGTGAGCCGCTCCCCCGTTTCCGTGACAGCCGAACCCCTGGCTCTCCCAAGCTGTCAGCTTGTCCCCTCCCTCCATGTCCTTCCTGGGCCTGCAGCAGCTTGGCTTCCTCTTTTGCCTGGAACTGTGTTCTTTAAACTCCCCAAGCCACTGTCCCCAAACCCGGGCCTCCCCACTCTCCAGAGCCAGGCCTCCTGCGGAAGCTCTGAGGCCACCAGGTGAGGGTGCGGGAGGCTGCTGCCCGACTGTCAGACACGTGTGATCCTGGTCCCGGGCCGCGGTGTGCCAGCTGTGCATCCCCAGACAAGCGTCCTTCTCTCTCTGAGCGTCCTTCTCTCATTGCAAAACGGGGATCAGAGGGTCACTGCCTGCCCAGCACCCTGAGAGAGAGGAGCCACGGTGATCCCACTGGACACACAGCGGACGCTCACAGAGGGGTCAGCACTGTGCTGTCCATGATGGCAGCCACCGTGGCTGCTTCAGTTTAACTGAAGTGAAATTAAATGAAAATGCAGTTCCGTAGCTGCACCACCCCCACCCCGGGGCTCAGCAGCCGCCCAAGGGCAGCAGTGACGTCCCAGGTCCTGGGCCAGTGGACAATTCCTCGGCGGCCCAAGGGCATGACTGGGTCCCTGCGACCAAGCTGCCCGGCTCCGCAGCGTACCTGGTGGGTGCTCTTCCCTGTCACTTCCTGACTCTGAGAAGTCAGCAACATCCAATGTGACAAGCTGGCTGTGCAAAGATCCTCTCGGGCCCTCCTCCCTGTCCTGCCCGGCCCCCTCCTGCCTGCCCTGGATCGGTTTCTCCAGGGCCCTGCGGGGTCCCCTGGGGTTCAGTGTCCCCCAGGACGGCTCCAAACGAAGTCCCACAGCCCATCTCCCCTCGGCCACTCCCTGAGTTCCCAGCTCTGCTATCCGGGAGGAGGCTTCGTGGGACCCCAGAGTCCCACACGTCAGGCAGGGCCCCCCTCCGCCTCCCGCCCCTGCCCCGCAGCGAAGCCCCCAGCTGCCTGTCGCCCTCCTCCCCCTCTGGCCACCCCAGCCCGGCCCAGGGGACATCTGTGGTCACCGGGAGCCACCTCCTCTCCTCCCCCACTGCAAGCCGAGGTGCAGTCAACAGGAATTATTTAAAGCAACCCTGCTGGGAGTCCTCCAGTGAGACAAAGAATCTTTTTGTCATGCAAATGATCGCACCTAATTTTCCCTGTTTTGCAGCAGCTCAGACTTAAAAATCAGTTCTCCCCAGCTGAAGTCTCCTCTCCCCGCCGCTGCCACACACACACTCACACTCAGACACCCTGCACTTTGGAATCTGGGAGCCTGAAGGCCTAGTCTCCTCCACCCCCCACCCCCCAGGGACCCATTTTTTTCCCTCTTCCTCCAAAGCCGCTTCCCAGCCTCTCCCATTATCCTCTCTGGCCCTGCACGTCCTCATCCTGCAGATCCCGAACCATGGAGACCTTGCGTCCAACTGGTTCATTTGGTGGGGAAAAAAGCAAGCCCAGAGAAGGGGTGTGATTTGCCAGGGTCACACAGTGGGGTAGTAGGGAATGGAGGTCCGGACCTTCAACCAGGAATCTGTCTTTGTGGGGATTCTGCGGACCTGGCGGGCTGTGTTTCTGTTGCAGCTGCCAAGCTGGGCAGGCAGCAGCGGGGTCCTCACAGGGGTCCCAGGGGGCGGTGCGGACAGGGCAGTCCTGGTTTGTGCTATGAACAACTGTGCCAGGGGTCTCTCGGCGGGCTGGGCCCTTCATCCCTGCCCACCTGCCTGAGACATACGGCACCCACCATGGCCACAATCCCACCGTGGCTCCCACGGCTTGGGGGCTGCTCTGCCCGCTGGCCCTGTTCTCCAGCAGGGCACTGTCAGGGGCACTCAAAGCCGACCCCTGGCCGCAGCCACACTGCCCATCCCTGCCCCGGAGGTGCTTCGGGGGGCCACACCCACTCACGTTCCGTCCTCGTTGCTTCGGTAGAACACCAAGAAGGGGTCAGACTTCCCGAAAAAGTCCTTCTTGTCCAGCTTGTTGGCACAGAACTGCATGGTGGCCACGTCCTGGTGGGGGGAGGGAGGGGAACAGGGCACGTGAGGTGGCAGAGGAAGCAGCAGAGACCCCAGGCACCACTGTGGTCCGCAAGCCAGCTCCACCCTGAACCATGGGATCCTCCTGCCTCAGCCTCCCAAGCACTGAGATTACAGGCATGTGCCACCATTGCTGGTTTGCAGGTACCCCAAGATGGGTGCTGACACCCATGATTCCATGACTGTTTTACTGAGCGGCTCAGGGAGGTGAAATGTGACCCAAGGCCACTCTGCTAGTCCTGAGGCCCCAGCTGTCAAGGGCACCCCTCCCACACACACACTGCTGTCCACGTTTCCGTCCACACCCATGAGAGGCTCCAGGCCACACTGCAGGGACCCGGGCCCATTTACAGCCAAGAGGCCACGCTCAGGGCAGGGGCAGCTTCCCAAATTCACCACACAGAGCCCACCTCCTGTCCCTCAGGCCAGGCCGCTGCTGCAGTGGCAGAGAAGGGGGCCCGGCCTGGCGAGGATGGCGGCCCCAGCCCCTGAGCACCCCCAGCCCCTGGGTACGGGGCACCTGCCCAGGGCTGCCTCCGCGCTGCCGACCCTGGGCCTGGCCTGCCCTCCCGCCCTCCCACCCCTGTCCTCTTCCTGGGGTGACCAACTGCCCAGGAAGGACCGGATGGTGGCACAGACAAGACGCTAACTCCTGCGAGGCTGACAGGCACAGCCCTGCCACAGGTGCGGCGGTACAATGGTCAGGGTGGCCCTGGGGCCGGCTGCCTGCCTCAGCGCCAGTCCTCACTCGCTGTGCGACCTGAGGCAAGTTAGTCACCGTCTCTGGGCTCAGTTTCCCCATCTGTAAAATGAGGGCCGAAGCACCCAGCTCAGGGTGTGAGGGAAAAGCGAGCCGAGAGGGAGGGTGCTGGGCACAGCGTGCGGCTCATGCTGAGTGTGTGTGCGAGCCAGGCCGGTGCTGTGCACACTCCTCCCTCTCCCTCCCTGGCGCCCGCCCCTCCGACGTCTGATGGCAGCAAACAGGCCCGCGCCTCACACTGCGTCCTCAGAACAATCGGGGCTTGTCCCAGATGCAGCAGCGGGTTAGAGGAGGAGGGGACCTGGCCCAGGTCCTGGCTGGGGACACTGAGCTCCCAGTCCTGCCCTTCACCCCACACCACCCCAAGGGGAGCAAACCGCACCTCCGCGCCGAACCAAGCACCGGTGCCCTGCTTCCTACCCACGCCGCCGCTGGTGTCCCCGACAGCAGTGCCACGCAAGGCAGAGTGCGGCGGGGACAGGAGCTGCACATCTGCGAGCGACACCGCTCTGGTCCCCACTCAAAAGAGGACACAGGTTTTAGAGGCCACGCCGCCTGCCGGAGTCCCACAGGGAAGCCCCAGGCCGTCCCTTCAGCCTCTGCTCTTCCCATCCAGGAACAACCTGGGCTCCCGGAGCCCCGTGCCTCGCCTCCCTGGGGTCCCTGGGGCGGGGCGCAGGGGAAGGGGGCCTCGTTCAAACGCACTAACCCAGGTGGGGTGTCTGCGAGACCTCAGCTTCCGGCTCCTCCCCAGAGGGCCCCTCCCCCCGGAAGGGACCAGAGTGGCTCGGGGAGCCTGGGGACAGCAAGTGAGTTCCAAGGTCCAGGCCCAGCTCTGCCCGGCCAGGGCCACCTGGCGGGACCCCCAGCACTGCCCCCTAGCAGCCCCCTGGGTAGGGGTCAGACGGGGTCCTGATAGCCCCTGAGCCTGCTGGGAAGGTCACGGGAGACGGCCTAGGCTAAGTCCCGGTCCACCGTGCCCACATGGACAGCTGGGAGAAAGAAGCTACCCGAGCAGAGTCCCACCTCCTACTGCGGCGAACCCCAAGAAACTGTTCATCATCAACTGTTTTTTACAAAAATGGCAGTATTTCACAGCAAAGTGACACAAGCCTATAATCCCAGCACTTGGGAGGCTGAGGCAGGAGGATCCCTGTGGGTTCAAAGCCAGCCTGGACTACATAGTGAGACGCTGTCTCAAAACAAAACAAAAAGGCACTATAATAGGGCTCTACCTAAGGGGTGCCAGCCACTATTTTTATATGTATAATTCATTTAATCTGCCCAACAACCCCATCAGGTGGGTACTGTTATTATTCCCATTTTAAGGGGGGAAAAACTGAGGACAGAAAGGTTTGCACTCTTTCTCAAAGTAGAAGCCACTCAGCCAGGGAGTGGGGCTGGGACTGGAAGCAGTCAGTCTGGCTCCAAGGAGGCATCTCCTCAATGACCCCCAATCATCAAGATGAGCTTAATTATGTTTTGCAACCTTAGTTGGAGAAGGCAGGGAAGTGTGAAATACACTAGCAAGACCTCTGTGCAGACTGGTTAAAATTCAAATAAAATTAAATAAAAGGACGGGCTCTGAAATTCAGTTCACTGGAAAAAAATCCCCCAGTGTGTGGCCCTTCATTCCCTGCTGATGGCAGAAAAGGGAGGCTGGGGGCTGGGAGCTCAGCCTGACCCGCACCCCCAAATAATCTAGACTCAGGGACAGCCTGCTGTCACAGTGTGGCCCGCAGGATGCCGGGGACAGGAGGCCACCTCAGAGGGGACTAGACCGTCACCTGGGCCGTGCCCGCCAGGAGTGGCGCTGTCTGGGCTGTGGTCCATTTGGTCTGCAGTGCTGGGGTGGAACCTGGGCCCCCGTCGCTGCCTTGCTGGGCAAGGTGATACCCTGCACCCCTGCCCGCGCCTGACTCACAGCAAGCCACAGGAACTGGCGCCCCCGGCTCCCTGGTGCACATGGTCACCGAACGGCTCAAACCCTTGCTGCAAGAGTGAGCCTGAGAAGAGACTGGGGCAGCGCAACCCACTGGGGAGACCGAGACGCCGGGCCAGCGGGTGCCAGGCAACCAGTCGGGTCTGTGGGGGCCCTGGGGCGGCCATGAGATGCTGTCCCCAAACCCACAGCTCTGAGGGAAGCAGCCTCGGGAAGATAAACCGGATCCCACGATCTGTAATTTCCTGCAATTTCTGCCTTTCACCCTTTAAAAAAAATATTAAATTCTTCTAATAAAGCAGGATTGCCTCTATGTGCATCTTTCCGCATGTTAATTGAGCTGCCTGGGAGATTGTGGGAAACAGT